GGGACAAACAAAATCCAGAGTCTGCTTTTTTGTCGCGACAAGCTGAGACTCTGTTCTTCTGTCTTCCCGAACCCAACAGAACCCGAGCCTTGAAATCCAACGACACAAATCAAACCCCATTTACCTATCCATCATGACCGAACAACCTCGCATCCTGCGTCCGCGCCCGAGACGACCATTTGAAATAACGCCCGCTTCTACGGAGTCATCCGGACCCCCAACACCGGCCGAGTCAACAGGCGCCGAATACCTGAACCCGAACGCAGACGCCATGTCGAACTCAACGAGCGTGAGCCGCACAGGATCAGTGATGAACTTGACCGCGTCGACGCTGTACGGGATCTACTCGCCCACGGCATTTGACGGGTTCCGCGACGAGTCCAGTCCCTGGGGCACGGAAGCCAACAGCCCAGCGGCAGAGTTCCCGCCTGAGCCATTGCAGCGCGCAGCAGAGAAATCGGCCATCGAGCCACGACGGAAGGCGCTGCGGAGGACACGGTCTCGATTGAGCCACGGGTTGTTCCGAGGCGTGATCTTGCCGCAGGCGTTGAGCAGCGTGCTGCTCTTTGGCTTTGGTGTTGCTTACGGTGTTATCACGATTCACCTTCATGATAACCATTGGATTACTCCTGTCAAGCTGGAGAATATTCATTACTACGATTCGGGGCTGTACCTGGGCTTCTGGGGGTTGGCTGGTATGGCTCTGGGTAATCTGCTTCCCTGGCTGGATGGCTGGCGTGAGGACAAGCTTGAGCAGTCTGATCCAAAGCTTGCGAGTGCCGATGAGGAGGATAATGAGGATCGCACCCCGTCTTGGGTTACTGTTGCTCGCAGTGTTGGAGCGTTTGTCGGAATTGCATTTGCTATGGTAAGTAGATACAGGTGTTTCCGTTTTTTTTTTTTCTATATTTCTATGGGACAATGCTGACATATCGATCTTTTTTTTACAGCGGAAACTCCCTTGGGAATCTACTACGCAAGCATCGTTGACCCTCGCGCTCGCGAACCCCGTTCTCTGGTACCTGATTGACCGCACCACGACCGGCTTCGTCCTCTCGACCACCGTTGGCTTGACCGGCATGGCAGCGGTTCTTGGCCTCAAGCCAGAGCTTGTGCCCGCGTCGACCGGCCCATCAATCGGCGCTAGTCTTCTGAATGTAACAGGACTGGAGGATGTGCTGGGTGCAGGCATCACACAGGAGAGCATTGCGGTCGGCACTTGGATTGCCAGTGTCATTTTCTGCGCGTGCGTGTGCTTTGGAAACGTTGGCCGTCAGCTTAGCATCGGAGCTGGCGTCAGAGATGTCATGAAGCCATGAGGCTTGAAAAGCGCCCGAGTTTTCTCGGTTCAGGACTGAGCACTCGAGCTTTACTGGGGAACGGCCTAATATGAGGGCATGGAACGTTTTAATGTACATCGAAATAATTTATGGCTCTGATAAAGAATTGTAATAGAAATCGGCTCCGTCATGACTTTTCGCTTCGCAAAAAGGGAAACTGTAGGATACAAAGAGCCCTAACGCTTAGAATGATTACAAGCGAACATACGAATGGAAAAAAATGAATAGCAAAGTTTAATATTATTTATTATTTTGATTGGTATGTAGAATCAATCATTGCAATCCCTACTACATGACCGAAGTCAAGCAGGCACTGCACCCAAGATCGACACCTTTGCCAGTTGGCACTTGGTCTCCATTCTCTATACGATTTCCTTACTTCATCAGACGAGTCTTCGTAGGAACGCTTTTTGAGTAGAATGTGAGTTTTGCGTTGTTCATGGAGAAGAAAAAAAGAAAGAGAAGATGGCGCCTTTGAGAAATCTCTTATATATCCCAATATCACGTGCCACGCTAAGACCTTCTGCATAGTACTAGTCTCTTATTGGCTGATGCCACAGTGGGTGGTCACGTAATATAACTTTTACTATCAAGCCCCTCCGCCGTAATCGGTCACCCCGCGAGTCATCCAATTTCTTCTTCTTTTTCTTCTGTTAGTCATTATACCCTCCTTGTTAGGTATGTAATTTATATCAATTAGTCTCAATTGCATTGGGGAATCTTCTAACAGATCTAGTGTCGACCGTCGGATCCATCATGTCTCAAAAGACCGGTATGTCTAGTTCCCCGGACTATGATATTATTTATTTCAGCAGTTCAAGGTCAATTCTAATATCTTTTTTGGGGGATTCGAATAGCTATCATCTCCGTCTATGACAAGACTGGTTTGCTTGACCTGGCCAAGGGTCTGGTCAAGCAGGAAGTCCGTCTTCTCGCGTCTGGCGGTACCGCTAAGATGATCCGTGAGGCTGGCTTCCCTGTCGAGTGAGTTACTTCTATCGTCAATGATGCAATGAAATACGAGAAGAATCATTAGGATCCATACATGTCACAGGCACTGACAATTATTCCCAGGGATGTCTCCGCCATCACCCACGCCCCCGAGATGCTCGGTGGCCGTGTCAAGACCCTCCACCCCGCCGTGCACGGTGGTATCCTCGCCCGTGATATCGAGTCCGACGAGAAGGATCTCGCTGAGCTGAAGATCTCCAAGGTCGACTACGTCGTCTGCAACCTGTACCCCTTCAAGGAGACCGTCGCCAAGGTCAACGTCACCATCGATGAGGCCGTGGAGGAGATTGATATTGGTGGTGTGACTCTGCTCCGCGCTGCGGCCAAGAACCACAAGCGTGTGACCATCCTGTCAGACCCCCGCGACTACTCCGATTTTCTCAAGGAGCTCGAGGCCGGCGAGATCAACGACGCTAGCCGCAAGCAGTACGCCCTCAAGGCCTTCGAGCAGACTGCCGACTACGACTCTGCCATCTCAGGCTTCTTCCGCAAGGAGTATGCCGGCAACGGTCTGCAGCAGATCTCGCTGCGCTACGGAACCAACCCCCACCAGAAGCCCGCCTCTGCCTACATGGCTCAGGGCCAGCTGCCCTTCAAGGTCCTCAACGGATCTCCTGGCTATGTTAACCTGCTCGATGCCCTGAACGCCTGGCCCCTGGTTAAGGAGCTCAAGCAAGCTCTTGGCTTCCCCGCCGCTGCCAGCTTCAAGCACGTTTCCCCCGCTGGTGCTGCTATCGGTGTTCCTCTTAACGAGAAGGAGCGCAAGGTGTACATGGTGGACGATATCAAGGATATCGAGACCTCCGGTCTGGCTCAGGCTTACGCTCGTGCCCGTGGTGCCGACCGCATGTCCAGCTTCGGTGACATTCTGGCCCTCAGTGACATCGTTGATGTCCCCACAGCCAAGATCATCTCGCGTGAGGTGTCCGACGGTGTCATCGCCGCCGGCTACGAACCCGAGGCTCTGGCCATCCTCTCCAAGAAGAAGGGCGGCAAGTACCTTGTCCTCCAGATGGACGAGGATTACACCCCCGCACCCGAGGAGACTCGCACTCTGTACGGCGTCCAGCTGACCCAGCACCGCAACGACGTTGTCATCTCCCCCAGCAAGACCTTCAACACCGTCATCACCCCCAAGAACACCACCTCACTCCCCGAGGCTGCTCTCCGTGACTTGACCGTCGCCACCATTGCTCTCAAGTACACCCAGTCCAACTCCGTCTGCTACGCCCTGAACGGCCAAATCATTGGTTTGGGCGCCGGCCAGCAGAGCCGTATTCATTGCACCCGTCTTGCCGGCGACAAGGCCGACAACTGGTGGATGCGCTTCCACGAGCGCGTCATCGGTATCAAGTGGAAGCAGGGCACCAAGCGTGCTGACAAGTCCAACGCCATCGATCTGCTCTGCTCTGGTCAGACCCCCCGCACCGATGCCGAGACCGCCGAGTACGAGCGTGTCTTTGAGGAGGTCCCCGCTCCCTTCACTCAGGAGGAGCGTGAGTCTTGGCTCGAGAAGCTCGGCGAGGTCGCTGTCTCGTCCGATGCCTTCGTAAGTGGTCCCCTTGATTCTCTCTTCCTTGGTAAATGCTAATCTCCACTAGTTCCCCTTCATCGATAACGTTTTCCGTGCCGCCCGCTCAGGCGTCAAGTACATCGCCGCCCCCACTGGCAGCCAGAACGATACCCCCGTCTTCGAAACTGCCGAGAAGCTGGGCATCACCTTCGTCGAGCAGGGCACCCGTCTCTTCCACCACTAGACACTACATTGTTCTACTGGTTGTCGTCTTTCGGTGCCTTTTCTCTATTCCCCTTTTCCTTCTCGTAAAAAAAAAGAGATGCCATCTATGTGGTTTCCACTGTGATGGATATTCGATATGATGATGATGTCAGGTTTTTCCTTTATGATTTAGATAAATTTATACACATATTTTGAGTAAACATCTTAAATCCCCAATCCCTCGATACCTCCAATAACTACCGAGAAATGTCCCTTTTGGTTTCCCTCCGACCCTAAGACCTTCTAATGTGCCTTATTTAGGGTTGCTCAGAACTGATGCTTGTCTTCTTTTTCACGAAGGACCATAAAGTCTGAACAACCTTTACATGTTCCCCAATTGAATCTCTCAACTTCTCGCCAAGTTCAACCCAAAATGAGCCGTTGTCACATCGATGGATTTCATGATGAATTTCCCCGTCGGAGCTCCGCTGTAACGAGGGGGTACTCATCAAACTAGCGGCCTCCTGAGATAACAAAACCAAGCAATAACCAAGCAATGACCCACAACATTGGCATAATTGGCATAATAAGCCACAGAAACTGCGGTGATTCCCTTCCGTATCAGCCAAACTTACCAACTGCGCTCTTGTGCTATTCCACACAGAGATATCCAACTCAACATCCCCGCCGCTAGGGATATTGAGCTCTAGTGCCGGATGTTGATTCCCGGATTTATTATCTCAAACGCCATGCAGATACTACGGACTATATCCAATCAGAATTGCCTGGCTTAATTGGTTCTTTTTCGCCATCACAGATGGGGAAATTAGGGTTACAATCATACCATTGTTAGCTGCCCCCGCGTGTATATCAAGGGGGAGATTCCCCCAGCAGGATGGCCGGGCATTATCACATCTCTATTGTTTCTCGAGATGTTAGTACGTCAGGTTTGCGTTGCTCTGGCGATCGCGGCTCTTTCTGGAGCCGTCCCTGCGCCAGTGAAGCATGTCTTGCATGAGAAGAGAAGCGAACATGTGGATTGGGTGAAAGGTGAGCGCATTAAGCGCGATTCCGTGCTACCTGTGCGCATTGGTCTTACTCAGAATAACTTGGAGAAGGGGGGATGAGTATCTTATGGCGGTGTAAGTTGTTCCTATGTGTATGTGTTAATGGTCTGCGTCCCAGTCACTGATACTTGTATAGTTCTGACCCGACCTCTGCCAAGTATGGGCAGTATTGGTCTGCAGAGGAAGTTCATGATATGTTCGCTCCTTCAAAGGATACTGTTGACACTGTTCGTCGGTGGCTTGAATCCTCTGGCATTCATGAGTCCCGGATTGTACACTCCGATAACAAGGGATGGTTGGCTTTTGATGCCTATGCACAGGAAGTAGAGGATTTGTTCAAGGCCGAATTCTATGAGCATGAGCATGCCAGCACTTCCAGCATGAAGATTGGCTGCGAGGAGTAAGTCTTCTTACTGTTTCTTAAACTGCTTTGGACTCTTTGATTGACGGTGCATTAGGTACCACGTCCCCGAACACATCCAGGCACACATTGACTATATTACTCCTGGTGTCAAGCTCAGCCCCATCGTCAAAAAGAGCACCAAGCAGAAGCGAATGTCGCACTTGGTTCATTCTAAGGGCACAGTGGAATCTGATGACTCTTTCAAATCCGCTGTTATTTCTGAGAAGGCGAAGTCACTTCCTGCGGATCTCCAAAAATGCGGAAGTGAAATGACTCCGGCCTGCATCAAGGCTTTGTACAATATCCCAGATGCCACCAAGGCACACAAGGGCAACTCGCTTGGTCTATACGAGCAGGGTGACTACTTCGCCAAGTCGGATCTTGATCTTTACTATAAAGCATATGCTCCTTGGATCCCTCAGGGCACTTATCCCATTCCTGCCTTGATTGATGGAGCCAACTTCTCGGTGCCTGATTACAGCCCTCTGAACACGGGTGAATCGGACATTGACATTGACATGGCGTAAGTACAATTTCCTTTTTCTATATGCTCCTCTGTTCTTTGCTAACGACGCCAGTTATGCGCTTATCTACCCCCAGTCCGTGACGCTTTACCAGGTTGATGATCAGCTTTATGAACCTGAAGAGGTTGCGACCACCAACCTGTTCAACACTTTCCTTGACGCTCTCGATGGTGTAAGTTATATTATCCCAAAGCTCAAATACATCTTTCTAATAAGCCCAGTCTTACTGCACGTATAGTGCCTTCGGTGAAACAGGCAACAACCCTGATATCGATCCAGTCTACCCCAACCCGCGTCCTGGTGGCTACAAAGGTAAGATACCATTCCCCCAACCAAGCTGACCTGACCACTCACAATAAACAGGCAAACTTCAATGCGGTGTTTACAAGCCCACAAACGTCATCAGCGCCTCCTACGGACAAGCCGAAGCCGATCTCCCTATTGCTTACACCAAGCGCCAATGCACTGAGTTCCTGAAACTCGGCCTGCAGGGTCACTCCATCCTCTTCTCCTCTGGCGACTACGGCGTCGCATCCTTCCACGGCGACGGATCCGCCAATGGATGCTTGGGACCCGAGGGAAAGATCTTCAACCCCCAATATCCCTCCAACTGCCCCTACGTGACCTCCGTCGGAGGCACTATGCTCTACGCCGACCAGACCATCAAGGATGCCGAGAGCGTAATGCACGCTGACTTGGGTGGTCTTTCCGCCAACTTCAGCAGCGCAGGCGGGTTCTCCAATTACTTCCCCCAGCCTTCGTACCAGAGAAATGCTGTCGAGAAGTACTTCAAGAAGGCTAAGCTTTCTTACCCGCACTACTCTGAGATGGAAGTCGACCTTAACAAGACAGAGGGTCTCTTCAACCGTATTGGTCGTGCTTATCCTGATGTGGCGGCTAATGGTGCCATGTTTCCTGCTTACAGTGGTGGAAGCCTGCACCACTTCTACGGCGCTAGCTTGTCGTCGCCGTTGTTCGCTTCGGTCCTGACTTTGGTAAGTTGAAACTTGAGATTGGTTTGTTTACTGTGCTAATGGATCTCCTGGTAGATTAACGAGGAACGTCTTGCCAAGGGCAAGGGCCCTATTGGTTTCGTGAACCCCGTACTTTACGCTCACCCCGAGGTTCTTAACGATATTACCAACGGCACCAGTGCTGGATGTAATTCGGATGGCTTCAGTGCTATTCCAGGGTTAGTACAATATTATACTTTAGATATGAGATTTTTACTGACGTTCCATGCAGATGGGATCCGGCTACCGGATTGGGCACACCTAACTATCCTAAGCTGAAGAAGCTGTTCTTGTCTCTGCCTTGAGATGAATAAGGGCAGAGCTTGTGTAACAGACTTGCATACCAAGTGTTATCAAGGACCACCTTGCTCAACATCAAGTATCGAGTCACTCTCAGCAGTCGTTATATTGGAGATTGTCTATGGTTCTCATGTCCATATTGCACTTCTTACCATTTTTCATATTCATGTCTATATTCAATGTGAGATGGTTTTCAAGAGCAAACTTGAATCACAATGCACAATGAGATGCTTGAGGAGATTCTTTGTATAGCCCAGATGCCTCCTATATAGAAATGTGCTAAGTTACTAGACAAAGTAAGCTCAATACTGAAAAAAAAATCACCTTGTCACATTTGAGTAAATAAATTAGACTGATGCACAGACATGTCATCATATTCTGATTTCAGAACAATTGAAATAGTACAAATTATCTATGTCTTTCCAATAGCAAGATATACCAGAGATAGTACAGTCCTTTAGCGTTATCATGGGTTCGTGCCAAAGTGCCCCAAATATCAGACTATCATTATAATCCATCAGGTAGCTAGAGCCAGTCGCTGTTTTTGGTTGATCCAATTCTCTCAGGTATTTCTCACTTTGCTCTAATCTATTGATTTAATCTAATTTACTATTAGTTATGCTTAGCTTCAGTCCTTTGTAGTTGAAAATCGAGGGGATGGATGGCCGCCTTCGAACTATACGCCAGGGTGGTCCGTGCGCGAGTATTTGTATAGCTTCAAAAATCTATAAAACTCGGGATATAAACTTACAAACAGCCCCGTTTCTGTTCGACGGAGCCATTAATGGACTGTAGGTATCGTATAGCCATATTAGGCAGGCGCTAATGACTGAACTACCATTGAGAATTAAATCGAGGCGGTGGCATAGAAACGGCAACGAAGTTGTTGAGCGCTCCTGCTCAGGACTTCGATCGGAGAAAAGCATGTAAACAAAGCTTCGACTATTCCCAACCACACGCACCCGCGCAAAATCTCAAGCACGATGAATATGTATTCAGCTGAGCTTCCCGTGAGTATAATCTTCCAAAATTGAAGCCCAGAAGAGTAATTAACAAGAGTATACACACATAGATCAGCGATGCTCCCGTCGATCGCGGATCCTCCCCAGCTTCCCCACCAATCGACACCTATCTGCTGTTCCTGGCGCTCTACCACCGGGGCGAGCTGTCTCTTGGCGAAAACCGAAAGCGCCTCGGCTTCTCAGCCTACCACTGGTCGATCCTCGTCTTGGATACGAAGCACGATCGTTACCACGCCTACGACGTGACTGATGGATCCTCGCCAGACCCTCTGATTCGTCGCGACCTCAACCCCGACTTCCAATGGACCTACCGCGTCAAGAACAACGTCCATCCGGAGTCGTGCGACTCTCTTCTTATCAGAATGGCAATCGGCGAAGTCAACGATGGAATCGGTCCCGAGACTATCAAGATGCTTCTTCAGTCTGTTCAACTGCCGGTTAAGAGTGCTCATCCGCCCCAGAATTGCGTCAACTGGATCAGGGCTGTTCTGCACAAGCTTCGGTTCCATGGATATGCCCGCGACTTGCACAGCATTGAGATGACTATCGATCGTGCTCTTGCTTATGCTGATCTTCGTATGTCGGATCCTGACAATTCGGTCTCTCTTGTTGATCACCATGGCAATGAACTGATTCAGACCATTTGTATGGAGTAAGATATCTTGAAGGGATGTTTCTTGCTGTGGATCTTGAAATGATGTCTTACTGCTGAATCTTGAAGGGTGTTTCTTGCTGGAGTCTCTGGTGTTAATTTGGCGCCTTTGGTGTCACTTGACTATCAACTGTTTGTTAATTGAGCATGAATCAATTCTCTTTCTTTCAATGTTTGTGCATGTTTTGTATTTATGTTGATGGTAATAGGCGATGCGACACGGCTAGATATATATTGAGGATGCTATCACGTGGCGTGATTTTTATTAGATGTCAATAGATAAGCGTATCTCCACGGAAACACAGGGCACAGGTTGATCAAAGAGTCGATCTTGCCCAGGAGATTTGTTTCTGGGATTTGATTTCAACACTGCCGCTGCTTCTTTGACCTGAAGTACACGCACTTGTTTGCTTGCAGCCTAAAGATGATTAGTGCCACAATCTATAAATTGTTTATAACTGGCTAACTAGGGTACATTCTGGGAGGCAACAGCTTAGAGATCTTAACAGATCTCCCTAGGCAAGGTCAGAAATTCAGCACATTATGGTAAGCCAAACTCAAAAAGACTCAATAACATCCTCGTATGAGTCACGAGGAGCTATCAAAGTGAGTAATGTCAATCCACACGGACCATTTCACCCGACCAGCCCCGTAGCCATGTGCCGCATATCCAGCAACCCGCATCTAACCTCGATCTGGCCGTGGACGGCGATCAATCCCGAGGACCGCAAAGTTCCGAGATGGGGTCACGTTCATGTTTTGCACATGTCGATCACCCGTAATGATAAGTGATAGCGATAGCCGATGTGAAGAAAAAGCTCCAACGGGTCTAACGCGGAATGCATAAAGAGTGCACGATCCACCCACGGAACTCGGAGTTTGCCTAGATTTGGACGGATAGTTTTAATGCCGAGGGTCGGAGGAATCTGTGCGAACTACTTCCTAAAGAGGAAATATTGCAAGGTTAGATCTGATAGATTTATCTTTCGGCGAATTATTATTAATGTGGAAAGTGCATAATCTATGCAATAATTGTCAGCCTCAAGATACACCACGTTGCCTCTTTCGGATAAATGATTCGGATAAATGAGTAGATAATTTCTCGTCTATTCTTCCTCAATCTCAGCTCATCATGCAATGTTTTGTTCACATCATGTCACCCCGATAAGGCAATTGGCAGTCCACCTAAAGAGGTATATTTTCTCAATCCCCATCCCATTGAAATCTATCGGCCAACGGTTAAGTTGGCCGAAGCAAAAGTCCTTGATGTCATACCTGTCAAGCACGGTGGATCTCGGAAGATTCACAGGCAAAAGCCGATGATCCAATGTTGATTATTGGGCGTTTCATAAAGTGCCCGACAACCAGCCATGGCGTCGTTGGCCGGTGACTATTGCATTATTATCTCCGCCTAGACCCTGAATCCTAAATCTAATTGTTCTGGACTGTGGCGGGATCTCGCCGTTGACCTCATCGTTTCCTAATTGGGTAATTTTCATATTGATTTGATATAGAAAAATAGAAGAAGATTGTATAGAATATCTTCGACTATGAGAGAAGCCTAAATAGTCCTAAATAGTTCTAAATAGCCATAAATTGAGACATTTCGTATTCGGTAAGGCTACAAAGTGGAGATTAAATGTTTCGAATGGGCAAGCCCTGCGAGCGCACATGGGAGTTTTGAGTGCTTAGGTCATCTCTAAGCACGGGGCAACTGATGGAACCTTGGAAGCTATGGAGGCTCGGCGATATCCGCATGGGTTTTCTTACTAATACGCCAAGATCCAGTTCCATCTGAAAAAAAAAACACAGATTGGAGGTCCGTGACGTACGCCAAACACGCTATCATAGGGAGTATGCAGTAAGGAATGTACATTGTACCTGTATCGTGAAGACCTAATCTCACCCCTCCTTGCAGGGCGCAGTGTCAGGCTCCTGTCTCTCTCTTTTGAGCACATTATTTCATATGGGGACCAATAACATCCGCCAATGCCCCTTTGTGTTCCACCTGTGGAATGTACAACGTAGAGCGTACGTCCGTAGGCAACGTAGCACGCGAGGAGTTATGGCCTCATACAGGGATGTTGGAATTACGCTGCCTCATGGCCTCATGAGGATCTGTGCATGCCAATAGTCAGTTAGTATTCGCTTGGGCGTTCCCCACAACACAGCCTACTTATGCATGGGTTCCTGGTCAATCTCGAATCTCTGGGGAATGCTAGTCTGTCAATCCTGCCAAGGCTGGGCACTGGTCGTATTCGTCTAGGGAGTATGAAGGATGGGGAGTACAGGCGAGGGGTAAGGAAAGTGTTGCATAATACGGATATACGCGTAAAGTATTCCGTACTCCGTACTCTGTACAAATTTAGGCCTCCTAATGCGGTTTGGCTTCCAAGGTTGTAAGAGCCTCCAAGCTGACATGCCAACCCATTAGATACCTAGATAGGATTGCAACACGTAGACATATGTCAAAGCAATTGTCAGCTTGGGTCTCTATCTCATTTCGAACATGATGTGATTTAGAATGTGATTGGAAATCGAAGTGCTGAAGTAATCCAAAGCTGAATTCCAGGGTTCTAAAAAGAACTTTAAAAGATATCAGTAATCAAATTTGTCCAATAATGGAAATAAAATGGAATTAGGAATTAAGAAAAATAAAAAACGGAACAGGTGCGACCGATTGTCCGATCGGTTTTTATCCTCCGGTGCGGACCACGGCACGGCGAATTGGTCATCCGAGAACCGTGAGTCATGGCATTTTGGAAAGAAATCAGAGTATACTATATACAGAGCATAGAGAGTATACATTATAGAGTATGTACTTTCTATATTATATCCAAGTACCTTGATCACGTACAACTTAGCGGTGAACTAGAAATCTTATAACCTTGGGGAAAAGAACCTTGGAAGCGAACAGTGCATTATTCATAACTCGGGCTCGGCGTATACCCTTTCTCCATTTTATTTCCGGTGGATCTCTAAGCATCCGTAAAGTCCGTTTCGGGACTAAAAAAAAAAAAAAAAAAAAAAAAAAGCCTTGTGAAAAGATTATAATATAAACCTCTTCCTGGATCTCTTTCGGATATCTCATCTACCTTTTTTTAACCTTACACTATCTATCTTCTCCCCAGGAAAAGAACTTGATCTATCTACATACTATATACTTTTATGTATAACAAAGTTGATCTCTTATCATCTATATCACACCGCCCCCACGACGATCCACTGTGACTGGATGACGCCTAATTGAGTCACAAGCCAAAGAGTCATACCCAATAATCAAAAAGCTCTCTTGGCCCACCATGGACTCTTCTTCTATTACATCCAATACCTCCAAACCCTCTCCCTACTTCGATTCTCTCGCCCGTCGTCGCCAACAAAAGAAAATGAGCATCACGCAAACATACTACCTAGCCCACACCGCCCGGAAGAAGCTCACTCGTGAAGCTTCCCGGGCAGACCACGACCTGCGCCTGCTCGTTGGCCATGCCAACCTTCTTGACTCGCTGATGTACGACCTCGCTGATGCCGAGCGTGAACAAGAACGCTGGTTCAACCAGACCGTCAGCGGAGCCACCAAGACTTCGGCTCCTTCCACTCGTCAACACATCCAATGGGCTTCGACGGTGGTCGAAGAGCCCGAGGAGGACTGGGACCCGGAGGATGCCTCCGATCTGGACTCCGAACTCAGCGACAGCGACAGCGACAGCGACGACTCCGACTACGACGAGACCGAATTCGTTATCAACACTCCTGTCCGCCGCCGCTCCCCATCACCCGCTCACTTTCATCACGAGGACCTACTGGAGGAGGATGACGAAGGCGACGACACAGACTCAGACTTTGAGTACGACGAGGCGGAGGAGCTGACCCTGACTCGCTCATCCTCGCGACAGTCACCGCCTGAACTCCTTTCTGATTCGGATGGGGAGTCCGAGGACGAAGCGACACCGCCGTCCCCGCCCCAACCTACGCTGGAGACATTCGATGAAAAGGAGTCTGCTACTACGGCGATTGCCTTGGCGGGCTCCGATCAACCCCATCTCTTTGAGCAAGGATATTTTGGTGCACAAGAGCAGACCATCATCGAGGCTTATTAAGCTCGATCAAATATACTCCATTACGACCCCGACTATACTCTACCTCTCTCTCTGCCTTGTGTACCATTATCCAGCGCTACATACGTGATACCCTGATGCTTTTTACGACATCTTTTTTTCAAGCGAGCTTATATTTGACATCTCTCATCTTCTACTATTTTCCGGCGTTTTTTGGGTCGCATTTGCGAATCTCCATTTTGGATATTTCATTATTCTCATGTCATATGGACATTTATTACATACTCTCATCTCTTGCTATCGATGATAGCGGCCCAACATTCAGCTCTCCCTACAAAGGTCGAGACTGCATTGGAGCGTTGAAACATTGGGGGAAGACATTGTGATCCCAACCGATATACAAAGTGTCTTCCCCCACAGAAAATCAATCCAATAAAAAAATTCTAATCCTCAACATTTTTTCGATATATCTTAGCGTAGTTACTCCGTACAGAGTACAGTAAATAGTGCCAAACCCGGCAGAATAAAGGCATGTGACCCGTCGATCCATGCCCCGAGCGCGCTCCGTTCCCAGCCAAATGGAATTGCAGCTCGCCAGCACGCCATGATCTTCACCGCCGGATAAGATAGATAGATCAGAGCCAAGGCGAGATCAGCGCGGCTAGGTCGGCATGGGACGCTATGGGTTGATAGTCAGCTGAAGGGTTTTACTAGTTTCATTCTTTACGTGTTCGGACACTCCGCGGAAGTGGATTCTGGAAGGGGGGGAATTTTTTATTTTTTTTTTCGCTTCTTTTTGCTTCGAGTGGATGCCTTGGCTTTGTTAGAGGTAAGGTAAGGCGGGATACGTATTGGGCTAGTGAGTGAAAATCTTGAGGCTGGGGGGGGGGGGGGCTGAGGTGTTTTGGGCATGCTTTGCGATATTAGCCCTGGATTGGTCATGTTATTGGTTACAATTAGATCTTCCCTATCAGGCATTACTGTCCGCTTATCTGACAGTTTGCGGATAGGTACGGGAGTACGGAGTACGGATGTAGACCCTGAAATACGAAGTTAGTCATATTATATGCATAATCATAAAGGTGGGTCATTTTATTGTGGCTTGCTATAACCATCTGTACTCCGTACGGAGTATTACTAAAGTCAATGCTATCCAATAGTGTTGGATACTATTGACTTAATAGTTGAGGTTCCTCTTCTACTTCGTACTCTTGCCCTCAATAAACCTTGTTTCTGCACCCGGGCAACATCATATTGATACTAACGTAATTCGGACTCTGTTCGGACTCTGTTCGGACTGTGCTGGCATGATAAGTGTATTTAGACCATTCATAGCAGCTACATTGCTTAATTCCAAGTCTTGTGAACTTTTCCATTTCTTGCTTCCGAACTAGATATAAATCTATAACTTACAATTGGAAAGATAGATTTATTTCTTCCTTGACATTCCTGTCTGAGCCAATTACCTAGATTAAGACTTCATGTAAAAATAATATGTACGGAGTAGTTTGATAGCTTTTCATGTGAAGTTCATAAATGAAGCGCAATCATATAGGGTTGTGTCAATCACCGGACCCGTGGATCCGAGTATTACATAAGCACGGTTAAGCTTCCGCTATCGATAAGTGATCACCGCCCTGAACCGCCCTGAACCGACCTGACCCCTCGCTGCATCCGTCACTCTCCAGCTCGAGCAAGATGACGCGTGACCATTAATCTTCAAATTTCTATTCCAGCTACCCCAAAACATGATACCAAAACCAAGCTTGGTCCTGTGGAACCCTCAACAATCTGGTGACCGCTGATACGTGCCATCTCTCTTCACGTCAACACGGCCCAGGAAAACCAACAGACCGGTTATACCCCTGTTTAATTTACATCATTGCCGAAGATCAATCTCAAAATGTCTACGCCGACTTCCCCCAGACGCTCGTCTGAGTCTGCAGGGCGGCCCGAATTCAGAGATCATACGATCCCAGCTGCGGGGTCCGGCCACACCCGTAGCCTTTCCGGTGAGGTCCAGCCTAGAAGCCACCGGAGATCGATTCAATTTAGCGTCGACGCCGCAGAATCTCAGTTGCCCACCCGCTCCTCAAGCTTCAAGGAAAAGCGACTGTCATATGGGGATACCCCGAGGGAATTGGAAGAAAAGGAAAAAACAGAACGGGAACACAAAGCTGCTCAATTGAACCGAGGGCCGTCTCCACCACCGCCGAAGTACGTTCTTCCCAAAGACTGTGAGTATGAAATGGGGTGTACTAATATATAGCAGAACCTATGAGCGAGGCGTCTCTTTCGACACATTCGACAATTTCGATGCTACCGATTTCTCCCTCACATTAAATTATAAACATAAAGGTTACCAGAGCACACGTCGCAGCAGGACCTTCTTGTGTGGAACTGACCAGAACGACTACTCCGAGTTTGCCCTCGAGTGGCTCATTGACGAGCTGGTGGATGACGGGGACGAGATCGTCTGTCTTCGAGCGGTGGAGAAGGACTCGCGCATAGCTAGCGATGTCGGAATCGAAGAGCGAAAGTACCGCGAGGAGGCCCAAAAGCTATTCGAGCAGGTGATCCAGAAGAATAGCCAGGATGAGAAGGCTATCAGTTTGGTCCTGGAACTTGCTGTGGGCAAGGTTGAGAGCATCATCCAACGCATGGTAACCTTTCCAACCCCATTGCTACCTCTTACCAATCTAATGTATACTAGATCCGCATATACGAGCCTGCAATGCTTGTAGTCGGTACACGGGGTCGTAACTTGAAAGGAGTGCACAGTTTGCTGCCAGGCTCCGTCTCCAAATACTGCCTTCAGCAATCACCCATCCCGGTGATAGTCGTTCGGCCTTCACCAAAGCGTGAAAAGAAAAAGAAAAAGCGCCGTGCAGACCCAACACGGCGCAGCTATAACCATATCCTGGAAATGAGCGAGCAGCGCGGCAGTCAGATATTCGGCGCCAGCCCAAGCACCGATAGCAGCACTTCAAAGCTGCCAGACGAGGAGGCTGCAGTGGCAGAGGCACTTGGACTCCCCGCATCATACTCGAATGCGGCCTCACGCAGTTCTTTATCGGTCTCAGACCGCAGCAGCATCAGCATTAGCCACGATGACTCCGACACGAATTACCCCCGGAACTCACTGGATGCAATGCTTATGGCGAGTCCGGGTATCGGGAGTCCTGCAGATAGCTCCCAGGAGAGCATCCTTTCTACCGGTAGTGCTCAGCCATCTCCTTTGGTGGACAGGACTGCAGTCTCGCCTTCTCTATCTAATCACTTCGACTCCCCTGCGTCAGACTCCTCTACCGAAATTGACAAGTCAGATGAGGCGAACGAGGTTTCCAATTCAACCAAGACTCCCCTGTCTATCCCTATGATTGAAGTGTCAGAGAACGATGATAAAAACGACAACACGAAGGCATCTGAATCCTGAAAGCATGGCTTGTCTTCTCTATCGAACAGAATAAACGTCAGGTATCACGTCGCCTCGCAACGAGACCGACAATTATACCCCCCAACTCAATACCCTCATCACTTATTATTGTCCTCAGATATTTTCTGACCTGGTCAAACATTTATGTTTTTGGCCCTGTGTATTTCTCTCCCCTCTTGTGTCTACAGTGAGAATTCACTAAATGCATATCCATGCATATTCATGGATGTCTAGACATTGCTTGAAAAACCTCCCATATCTATGTATTCTCGTAGCCACTATTCTTACCCAGGTGTTAGTATATCTAAGGCTAGCTCTTATGTATGGATATGATCCATGCCATAACAAGTCCATAGTCAGGTCTAGCACATTTGAACAGGATCTACAATCGAAGATGTTATTTCTTATAAAGGAAGAGATTATAAGTAGCCACAAGGCGAAGGATTCATTCAATCACATTAAAGCTGAGTGGTGCTCCGGGTATTGAGAAAAGGACAAGGACATGAAGAGCAAAGCAAGAGCAAGGAGAATATGCAAGGCACGAGGGAGAAAGAGAAAAGCATAGAGCAAGCACTAGAAACATCAGCAACCCTTCTTCTCATCATCATTCTCTTCATAATGGGCACTTACACAGTAAAACCCCCCTACTAGATTTGCATATGGAAGACAAGAGTATGAAATAGAAGTGATTCAGCCAGTCCGATTGCAAGCAAAGTCCTACTCTCAAACACACCTCCACACTCAACTCTCAATTCACCGATGAAGGAAAAAAAGAAACAAGAAACAAGAATAAGAATTGGAAAAGATGTCAAGATTGTACACTATGAAGAAGGTCTCTTTTTCGAAAGAAGTTCAAAAAAGTAAAACCAGCGTGATAAAAGCGTGAAAAAAGAAGTCCTAGGGGAAAACCGACCAGTCGGAAGATGCAAAGGACTGCCGATTAAAAACAAAGGCGCATGGCTTTCCTCACGGGAAAACAAGATGGAAATGACGAAAATGAAGAAATCTTTTTGTGAACCAAGAAAATGGAAAACGTTGATCATTAACTCCTAAGGACTCTCTCTATGCTGTGGGTTCACCGTCCTTGATAGACGGGGTTTTTGAGGGACGACGCTCAGCCGCCGCGGGCTGGGACTTGGTGAGCACCGGGGAAGTGGGGTTTGACGGTGGCGAGGTGGCCATGTTATCCCGATCTTCAAGGGCAGCAAGCGCGCTGGGGAGGGTATTAGCATGAGTTCCGAAGGGAGAAAACGTTAGGGAATGCGTACCTGAAAGCGTTCATAGAGGAGTTGTCTTCCTTCTTGCTACCGGTAGGAGTGCCAGTGCGGCTGCTGGCGGCGCTGTCGTCGCTACCACGGACAAGGCTACCGCCGGGACCGAGGTTCTTGCGGCCGCTGTTGGTGCGCGAGCCGAGAAGGCTGGACGGACCGAATGACATGGGCTGGTTGGGGTTGCGAGTCGCACGCAGGCGGCGGAGATCATCGCTACCAACCTTGCTAGAGGCGTAATCGGGGGGAGGGGCCTGGTTTCCGTATCCGAATCCGCGGGCGTCACCGCGACCCATGGGGATGCGACCACCGCCTCCACGGTTGCTGGACTGGCGCTG